TTTTTAAATAAATAAAAGAATAAATTCAATAAAATTGCCCAACCAAACGAAAATATCGGCTCTTTCAAGTTAATAAATTCAGCTACACGAAACTGAGTGAGTGACACAGTGAGAAGAGAACCTAAAATAGGGTGGGGTGGGTTTTTATTAGGGGACTGGTTTTCTTTTGGGGGGGGGGTGCCTGGGCGTTGTTAAATTAATAAGAGGTGATGAGCAGCCAGCTGTGTGCGAAAAAAACGGGCTACTCAAAGTGGAAGACAGATATTGTATGATGCGCTATACAGCTTGGGAAACGAACGAGGGGAAGACCGATGTAGTTACGGAATACAATGGAGAAAAGATATTACAGAAGTTGGGTAAAGCTAGGGATGGGTTAGAAGTTGAGTCCAGAACAAAACACATTGGAGAGATGAGCGGTGTTTAACTCTTCCAATATCCAGACCGAAGTGGTATTGGGGTGGTAAGATTTTGTTGTTTTGGTATATTGTGCTTTTGTGAATTTTTTTAACAACCCCGCTGTCATGATCATAGCAACAAAAATAAACCCCAAAAAGAAAACAATAACAACAACAACAACAACAACAACAGCAACAACAACAACAACAACAACAACAACAAGAAGCTAAAATCAAAGTATAGTGTTCGTAGGTTTAACACCCCTTTCAACACTATTAGGTTATTTAAGAAGCAGGACCTCCGAGTTCAGCGTCTATCCCCGAAAGGGCCGAGCCAAATGGGAAACTCGCGTAAAGTGCTGTTCCCATTGACACAACGTCGGTTCGAGCTGAGACTCGAATCCCCGAACCGGGCGGCAATCTCACGATTACGGGTCCGGTAGCCTAACCACTAGGCCACCGAAGCCATTCAAAGCTTTCAGCTACCAAAAATAAATAACAAGCGGACAAACCAACAAGAGCAACAACAAATCACCCAGCCAAAGAGCAAACAAATTACAAACAAAAACATCTTTAAGAAGAAGAATACAATCAGAAGTTAGGAGAACTAAAGAAAACCCACATACATGTATAGAGAAGACTTCTTCAATTGACCATGAAGGCTGAAGATCAAGGAGGTTACACAGTAACTTGTTCTAAGATCCCTGCTGTAGACTTACCTATCTTTAGCTTCCGCTGCCCGATCTCTTTGCCGTCTATTTTTAAACCAGTTGCTGACTTGAGTTGTGGTTAGTCCAGTCGCCTCGGCTAGTTCCCGCTTCTCTCTGGGAGAGGGGTACGGATTGTGAGAGTACCATTCTCTCAAAATAGTCCTGGATTTCTCCTTGAAGCAGTAACTCGTTTCTTCCCCGTCCCAGATAGTTCTGGGTAACGGGAATTTCCGACGCACTCGGTACTTCCCCACCGCCCCCAACGGGCGTCCCCGGAGTTTTTCCGCTTCTACGTAATGCGCCTTCAGCCACAGAGCTTGCAGCTTGGGGTGGTTGTGGGGGGAGAACTGGTTATTCTCCAGGATCTTGTACAGCTCTTTGAAGTTCCCTCGATGGAAAGCCACCACCGCCTTGGCTTTGAGCACGCTCTCGTTCTTGTGGAGATGCTCGCAGGCGGGTAGAGACCACAGGAAGCGTGCCAGGCGGTCGATGTTCCCTCCCTGCTGGAGGACCTCGCAGACACAGGCCACCTGCTCCTGGGTGAAGCCGAAGGAGGGCAGCATGGAACCGCCGGCCCCGGAGGGGGAACCCCCGACATTGGTGCCCGTCTGGTCGTGGAGCATGGGGACACTAGGGAAGGGGCGCACGGAGGCCCCGTTGTCTGGCCGGAACACTGCAAGGCGGGAGAGAATAAGAAAACTTTGGTAAGTCACAGATAACTGCAAAAGGGGAGGGGGGA